CTTGCAACCCGAAAAAAATAGTTTTCTCCCAAAAATTTATCAAATCATTCCAAACAAATCCAATACTCTCTAAATTAAAAAAAAAATCGATTTCTCTTTATTGAAAACCATGAACTCATATGGCGTTCAATTTCCGTAGAAGATGTTACAAAACTCCCCCTGAAACATCTACAACTCTAAAAAAATAATTTCCTCCCAAAATGATAATAGAATGAAAAGAAAATTCAATTTCCTTTAGAAAAAGCCTGGAGTCCGAGGGTGGTCACACATGGCGCGAGTACACCTATCGAAAGATCACGCCCTGCGACGCGTGCGGTCAGGTGTTGCGCGGTCACAGCCGGCAGGGTGTCAGGTGTCGCGGCTGCAAGGCGAACGCGCACACCGATTGCATCCACCTGGTACAGCCAGCGATGTGTCCCAGCCTGGCGCCGAAAAAGAGCGGCGGTATCCCCCTTTTGCGGCGACAGAAAACTCAAGCCCAGGTTGACGAGGCGCCGGCCTCCGAGCACAGTAAGTACGAGCCCAGTGTTCTACCTAAATACCTGGTCCTCTTACAGGGTTTCTGGTTTCCTTGTCCCGCCGGGCGAGGACTTTTTCTCAGGGGTTGAAAATAATTATATTATTGGTTCCGATTCTTGGAACAGATATGGAGAACTGGGATAAAGGTCTATATTGGATTCGGTTATTGTTCTTCGGAAATGATATAATATTGGTTCTATAACTGTTACTTTTCAGGTCTGTATTTCGTTTCTGTACTTCTTTGAGAACCAAAAAGTAACAGTTACAAAACTGAACTAAGATGAACCAAAAAGTAACAGTTACAAGACTGAACTAAGATGGACCAAAAAGTAACAGTTACAAGACTGAACTAAGAAGACCCAAAAAGTAACAGTTACAAGACTGAACCAAACGAACCAAAAAGTAATAGTTACAAGACTGAACCAAAAAGACCCAAAAAGTAATAGTTACAAGACTGAACCAAAAAGACCCAAAAAGAACCAAAAAGTAACAGTTACAAGACTGGTATAGTATCGGTACTAAGCTATTTTAGATTCGGTTCCAGTTCTTCAAAACAACTGCCATTTTTCCAGTATAGCTCAGAACCGATATAATATGAGTTCTACATTTCGATTCTACATTTGAAAAATACATGTGAAAAATAGCACTTACGGAACCGATACAACATCGGTACTGAGCTATATTGGATTCGGTTCCAGTTCTTTCAAACCGATATTACATCGATTCTATAGAACCGATATAGAAACTATGGAACCGATATAGAAACGATATACCGAATAACACTTATGACTTTATTTCGGTTCTCCATGACTGTTTCGGTGGAACCAATATATAACGGTTTCAAACAATTATTTTCGGAATCTTTTCAATCCCTGCTTTTTCTCTCTCTCTATCTCTGTCTGTCTCTCTCTCTTTTTCTCTATCTATCTACTTATCTCTCACTCACTCTTTTACTATCTCTCCTTCTATCTTTCTTTCTCTCTCGTCGTTAGGGATGATCGATGCTCTTGCAGATTATTTAATTGCTGGATACATTGAATTATATTTTTAAAAAACTGGAGAAGTAACTTTTGATTTATTTTATTGTTTATACATTAGTATTCCTGTATTATTGTTCAGGGAATTATTGATATACCCCGTGTTCAGGAAACGCATTTTTATATTGTAGTATCGTAGAGATATTTGTGAAATATAGTTTTCCATTCTTTTATTCTCGTAAATCAAGGAACATAGATTAAATTTTGTTTACTTCTTACTTTAATAATTCATTGAGTTACTGATTCATTCTTTTGTTAATTTCTCGATAAATATACTAGTCCATCGTTTCTCAATAAAATCGATAATTCCGGTATATTGGAGAAATGCATTCGTTATTATTTATAACAGTTATTATTTATTATTTATTCTAATAAAAGATTCATTACTGATTCTTATTTATATTACTATTGTATTATTCACTATTGATCTATATTTAATCTAATTCATTTATATTCCATTTTATTCGGAAATTCGAAAAAGAATTGATTAATCCTCATTGAATCCGAGAGAAACTAGAGCTATTATAAATCCCGCGAGAGCACCGACCCATCCCGCCAACCGAATCAAACAAAAACAAGCGTCTTCGGAGGAACAACTTTACACGAAGTTTTCGCTCCTCGTTTTATTCGTATCGTCGTGTAATAACGGGTTTCGGCTTTTCCCCCAAAAATCACCGCATCAATCGTCTCTCTCGACAACGCACGAGATAATCGATCGGAGATCACGACATGCCCGTACCACAAAGTCCATATCGTCGAATTAACACTTTTTTTTTAACAAATCGCACACGAGAAAGCAGACGAAACAAGTTGAAACTTTCTCATCGTCGTCCATCGACGAAACCGTATCACTGGAAGAGGCTGCAGGAAAAGGAAAGATCATTCATACGATGATTCTTGATCGTTCAGCGTCGTTCTGGTCTTCTTTCGGTGTCACTGAAGCTAAACCCGATCGTTCGGAGTGAAACTAAAACGAAATGCACCTGTAAAACGTAACCAGTTTTAATTCAAATTGGCGTGTAACCTTTAGAACATCGTTCATTGTCACTTTATTCTTTTACGGTAATAATAGTAACACTAATAACAAACTGGAAAGTTAATTTACAAAAATATCGTTGCTTTCTCTATCTTGACGCGTGATTTTCTTCGCGTGTTTTTATATTATATTAAATTCATGATGAAGTTCTTCAAATAATTTGTAAAAATTCAATATTGAAACATTTTCAATGGTTTATCACTATAAATAATAGTTGAAAAAGAAATTAAAAATACGTGGTGATGGTATTTAAGTAAATTTTATTTAATTTACATTTACAATTGGCGATTAATTTAGAAATAACGCGAATGTAATATTTGAAGTTTTCAAGGGTTGGCTCTGTAATAAAATTATTTCTACATTATTTTGCAATTAAACATTGAAATATTTTCTTGCAAAAAATAATAGTCCAGAAAAACATTAAAAATAGTTGGTGGTATGTTTAAAAAAAATTTGTCTGTATTTCCATTTATGATTTTATTCTATAGAATTTCTTTTATTTCATTAGAATTAAAAATGATCTAATTAAATTACTCTCCGAATTGTCTGGAAGTTCTGTCAATCACGTGAGCCACCTTGTTCCCCTAGAAAATTATTCGAAGGTCCCCCCACCCCCAGATCCTTATCCTCAAATTACGCGTTGGCATGTTATATACTCTTAATCCTTTCAACATGATTTACTTCAATTGACGTCAGAGTGAACCTATCCTCCGGACGATCAATAGCAATTTTGTTACGTATCCTGGCCACCACGGTCTGTTAGGATCCAAACAAATTTTTCCTACTGAAGCGAGATCCTCCTGCAACAGGACCTTTGTCTTCTTTACATTTAATTGGACGAACTTCAGTGACATTGAACTAACGACCCCGACGAAGCACCAGTGAAAATTGACTCTTGGGAAGTACTGGTTCCTTGGATAACAAATGTCTTCAAATTAATGTATTCTTCGCTGTTTTTCTTCTTAATAACATGATATTCTCTTCCAGGGAAGAGAATCTGTTCTAATAAAGACAAGTTTACTTAAACGAATCAAGTTCTTATTAAATCTCATCATTACAATTATTCTCAATTGCAAGTACCGCCTTACAAAGTATTAACTGAGTATTAACAATACTCAGATCAATTATATTCCTTCTTCTTCACATAAACAGCAGATATACATAAAGGGAGAAGCTAATAAAACTGGTGAAAGTATCTCTTCACCTCTTCATTTTCACTATAATTCAAATAAAAAAATACTGTTCATTAATTATACTCTTCTTGATTGATTCATTACAAAATACTTCAACTGTTAAGCTGTACCTAACCTGAATCAAGTGAAATAGAAGAAAGGCTACACCCTAAAACTCATAAAGAATTGAACAGGCAAGGACATTTGTTACCCAAGGGCCTTCCCCGAGTAAAGAATTAAAAATGAAGTAAAACTAAAGAAGAAGAAACAACAGGAAAGCACCTCCTGTGATGTATCTCGTGTGCTTTTGCATTGCTGTCTCTCTATCCCGTGTGGGCAGACGTGGACGCCATATACCAGGTGCTGAAGCAGGCAGGCGAGATCCGTGGAAACTCGACAAACTCACCACCTACGCCTCCCACAGCAGATCATCCTCCCTCCGGTGCAGCACCTTCGTCAGCGAGGGCCTCCTCCCACCCCTGTTCCTCGTCCACCTCTGGTAAGGCACAGCACCAATTCCTCTTGACCTTGAAGCAGAACGTTCGTACAATTCTGAAAGAGATAGTAGCCTGTATTTCTTGAAATTGCCACTGAGAGAGCTGTTCGAGTGCACTCCACTGTATATAAGAAACCATATTTACAATTTTGATAGTATACATGCTGTAGAGTATCAAGTTTCATGGCAGTGTAAGCTTAAAATAGATTGCTAAACATAGGCTAGAAATATGAAGCCTAGTTTGGAGTATAAAATCAATTGAGTTCTGAGTACGAGAAACTGTATTTAGAAGTTTAGAGTTATTCCTGTTGTAGATTGTAAATATTTATGAGAGTGTAAAGAAAGAATAGGTTGATAGAATATTCAGTTCCTTCCTGAGAAAATTAAGTTGATAGTTTGATTGGTGGAGTATTGTTACAGTAATGTAGGAGATATTGTTGCAATTGACAAGTGTATAAGTAAAGAAATTCTAGATTGTGGGATATATATGTTGATCTATATTTATTGATTCAACAAATTATAATTTACGTGGATAGGCAACTATTAAGTGCATGGGGAACGTTATCTTTGAAATTATAGCTTGCGTAGGTTCTCAAAGTTTGTTGTAGCACAGATTTGATTTACAGTAGTTGAAGTAGGCTTCAGTTATTTTTAGACAGCCCCAAAGAGAAGGGCAGTTACTTGGAAACAATGTTTGCAGTATGAGTTTGATTGCTGCTTGGGAGAGAGGGATATTGTTGTGGATGAGTAATACTGGTGCAACAGTTATATTGAAGACTAATAGCAGTCGCAACTTAGTTTAATTGATGAAGTTCTAAAGTAAATTGGCGGTAGCGGTAGTAGTTCATGATGAGAGCAGCAATGATAAAGTAGAACTTTCTAAACAACTCGTGCTGTATGGATTTGTGTAACTTTAGATATTGAATACTAATTTTCAGGGTTCATTTGAGGACAAAAAATGGATTGTTAGTAAAATTTATAATCAGTGTTCTTATCTATAATGACAAACTTCTTTCACATTTTATACGTACTTCTATTATACAAAAGATATTAAATTTAAGAATCTACGGTACAATTCAATGGAAAATGAAATCTACTTTCTTTTATACAGTATTGCAATTTTTATATTGTTAGGCGATCAATTCTACCTTTTTTAAAACTATTATAAACCGTGTTTAGCAATAGTTGAAGTATTTCGTTATAATTACTACAAACGAAGAGATTCGATATTTCTTTCTAGTACTAAAAGATATTATAATACATATAGTATAAATTTTAATTCATATTTGAATTCACTCTTTCGAAGAACTAAATTCATTGAAATGTTCACATACTTTCACTTTCGTAATAATTAAAAGAAGTAATTTGTAGCAATATTCATGTTCATTGCGTTACTCCAACAAGAAGCATCGTTTAAAATGAAATTCCTGTTATAATTTGTCAAAAACCTTTGTCAGATCTACAATTTTCAATCGTACTGGACTGAAAACTTTGAACCAAGAAATTGCAGAGTGCACTCAGAAACAGATTCCATCAATAACTTGGCAGAGAAATCATCATTTTCTGCTTCAAGATCCTACGTAACCCTATTCTCTTTCTTTTATTTTTTTAATCAGAAGAAGGAATGCTTGTCTTCTTCAGGGACATGACTCGTAATTTCT